GGGCATGTCTGCACTCTACGGAGCTCACAGCCGTGGTGCATGTCTGCATTCTAGGGAGCTCACAGCCATGGTGCATGTCTGCACTCTACGGAGCTCACAGCCGTGGGGCATGTCTGCGCTCTAGGGAGCTCACAGCCGTGGTGCATATCTGTGCTCTAGGGAGCTCACAGCCATGGGGCATGTCTGCACTCTACAGAGCTCACAGCCGTGGGGCATGTCTGCGCTCTATGGAACTCACAGCCGTGGTGCATGTCTGCGCTCTACAGAGCTCACAGCTGTGGTGCATGTCTGCGCTCTAGGGAGCTCACAGCCGTGGGGCATGTCTGCGCTCTACAGAGCTCACAGCCATGGTGCATGTCTGCACTCTACAGAGCTCACAGCCGTGGGGCATGTCTGTGCTCTACGGAACTCATGGCCGTGGTGCATGTCTGCATTTTAGGGAGCTCACAGCCGTGGTGCATGTCTGCACTCTACGGAGCTCACGGCCGTGGTGCATGTCTGCATTCTAGGGAGCTCACGGCCGTGGTGCATGTCTGCACTCTAGGGAGCTCACGGCCGTGGTGCATGTCTGCACTCTAGGGAGCTCACGGCTGTGGGGCATGTCTGCGCTCTAGGGAGCTCATAGTCATGGGGCATGTAGATGTAGCTGGAGGCTGCCCTTTCACTTCCTGGCCTCCTGATCCTGAGTAATCACACAGAAACTTGTATTATTTACACACTGTTTGGCTCAGGCTTCTTACTGCCCAGCTCTCTATATAAATTAGCCATTTCGCCCTTCCTTTCCATCTCTCTTCCAAAGAGGTAGCTGCTGCATATAAATAAAGAAGTGTGTGTGTTTGTGTGTGTTTGTGCATGCACACATGTTCGTATGTGGTCGTGGTCCTCCTACATTGTGGGACCTATGATATATGGACAAGGACTAACGTGTTCATGTGTGGTTGTGGTTTGCCTACATCAAGGACCTATGATAAATGGGCAAGGGCTGAAGAGAGATGGAGGGAAGATCTGCTAAGAAGGGTTTGTGGTTGTCTCCGTGTAGATTTGCTAAGAAGGGTTTGTGGTTGTCTCCATGTAGATTTTGTAGCTTTGAGGAGGTATTCAAGCACAATTCCCATGGGATGAGATGAGGCAGGGAAGAAACCCTAGGAAGAAGGCTTCCAGCTGACCCCCAAGACTATTTCCATGCTGCCCAAGGGGTGGGATCCCCTGGCTGAGCACGGGAAAAGGAAGAAGAATGACCCCAAAGAAGACTTGAGGGCTGCCGATTGCTGGAAGGGAAGTAGGAGCAGGTTGGACGGCTGTGACCAGTTTAGATGTTCTAAGTTGGATTTCTTCCACTTTGGGCCACAGGTAGGTAAGCTAGCAGTGCATTTAATTCACCAACTAGTAGCTACCTATGTTTTATTGAGTGCTTAGGGCTGGCTCTGGGCAGTTTACGCATAACTCATTCACCAGCCTCATGAGGAGCTGTAGCTGGGACCTGGCTACCTTCCCATGTTGTTGAACCAGCGCTTGGCAGAGTGGTGACTTCTAGCAGGGTCGGGTGCTGGCATTTGTCCCTGAGCTGTTGGATGGAAGCTGTAGGGACCAGATCCAAGTCTGAGATGTGCTGGAGGAGACAGTCCTACTGTTTTTCTGACAATGATTAATACTACGTGTCAGTGTGTCTGAGCACCCAATGTATAATACAGCTAAGACCATATGCAATTATAATACAGCAAAAAAATGTTATAAAAATGAGCCCTGTACTTCTCCAGGTGTAAACCCTTCATGCAGAAGCATTACTCAAGATAGAGTATCTTTTGGAACTTGGAGGAGAGGAGAGGGGAAACTGAGGTTGGGATGTAGAATAAATAAATACATATTAAAAAGAGATAGAGTATTGTAAGGAGACCGCTTGTTTTCCAGCTGCTTGGCAGCTCAGCCCTGAGATAATCACACAAAACTGTATTATTTAAATCACTGCTTGACCCATTAGCTCTAGCTTCTTATTAGATAACTGTTACATCTTAATTTAATCTATCTCCATTAATCTGTGCATCACCAGAAGATTGTGGCCTACCAGCAAAGTTTCAGCTCCATAGCTTCTCTCTGACTCTGCCTCCTTTCTCCCAGCATTCACTTTAGTTTTCCCTCACCTAGCTCTGCTCTACCCTATCAAGCCAAGCCAGTTTCTTTATTAACCAATGATGTTCACAGCATACAGAGAGAAAATCCCACATCAGAGTATCTTGGAAAAAGTAGATCTTCTAGTGCCTTCCTTTGACATACAAGATTATGTTTAATTATATACATTTAGGAGTACTTCCCAATTCCCTGATTCTTCATGAGATGAGGCAGGTGTCCAGTGTAACCTCAGTCTTCTGTGGCAGGAGGCATGCTAACATACCAACAGCAAATTCCCTTTCATTACAGGAAAGATGGCCCCGCTGTTACTACAGCATTTCAGAAACTCTGTCTAGGAGATGGCAGCAGTGAAGCAAGATGAGACGTATGGAATCAGGTTCCCCGAGTGATGTAGGAGGGTCTGCTATCTATCTGTTGCTTTCATTGGTTAATTAGTAAAGAAAACTGCCTGGCCTGATAGGTCAGAACATAGGTAGGCGGAAAAGACAGAACAAAATTGTGGGAGAAAGAAAGCAGAATGAGTCAGTCGCCATGCTTCTCCTGCCCAAGATAGACGCGGATTAGAATCCTCCCGGTAAGCCACCGCTAAACAGATTATTGGAAATGGGTTAGATCAATATGTAAAAGTTAACCAATAAGAGGCAACAGATAATGGGCCAGGCAATGTTTAAAAGAATACAGTTTCCATGTTATTATTTCGGATGTAAACTAGCCAGGAGCCGGGCGGCGGGAATGTGGCCCGCCGCTCCTTTTACACCCAAGAGAGCAGAGGCCATCATTACTAATGGGAGAAACCAGACTACCCTTCTTGGGCAAGGTCTTGGTCATGCCCATGGGCTTGCTGGGTGAAGGGACACTGGCTCTGTGTCCATGGCTCATGAGGGCCCAGATGGTCTTTCCTTCCTGTCTCCTGGAAGTCTGGAAGGAATTTGTGTGTAGCAGGTTCTGAGTCAGGCTCTGAGGGAAAGGGATTCTCTGTATGTAATAAATCCAGGCAGCCACAGAGCCATTACCTTGCACACTGTCTTAACCCACTTGACTGAGATGGGGACTTTGGATCGCTCACCCCAGGACTTGGCCACTATGGCTTTGCTGCTTGTTTCCATGACTCCACAATGTACGATAGAGTGATCACTTTTCAGGCCAGGCCCAGTTCTTCCAGGCTGTGAGGCATTGCCACATTGTCATCCATAAAGGGCTTCCCTCCTCTGCCCTCCCGACCTCACTGGGCCACCAGGGAAACCGAGTGGGAGAGTGAAATCGTGCTTCTGACTTTATTGCTCCTGATTAGAAATGTTTGCTTGGGACGTAGGAGTTTGTATCATTTAATTTGGTGTCTACCATAACATGCGTTTAAGATGTTTGTATAAAAGGGCTTAAAGTTAGTTAATGCTTTATCGCTTGGGGATACTTGGATACTTGGGGGCATTTAATTTGCAGAATTTTTAAAAAACAATTTACACACACACACACACACACACACACACACACACACACAGTGTTCTGTATGCCTGCATGCCAGAAGAGGGCATCAGATCTCATTATAGATGATTGTAAGCCACTATGTGGTTGCTGGGAATTGCACTCAGGACCTCTGGAAGATGCAGCCAGTGTTCTTAACCTCGGAGCCATCTCTCCAGCCCTAACTTGCAGAATTTAGGACTCAGCTTTCTGTTACCTTTTCTGTTACTTGGAATGTAGACTTAGCCTCCATGACAGAGAGTGCTGGACTACTGGAGACTTGCCAGCCAAGATGTGTGTTTCTGGGTCTTGTGACAGGTTAGCTAGGTGTGGTCAGGGTAGCTTTGGGGTGAGGGGTCTGTGCAGTCATGGACTGGGGTGCCTTCTACCTTATTTTCCCTATAGCTTTCACCTGTTGGTTCAAGGGGACTGTCCCAGTTTTGATCAGTATGAAAGGGAGGAAAAGAGGAGGTTACCCACAGCCTCACCCCTCCTTGCACATGAGGGGAATAAACATGGCGTCGTGTGTAGAATTCAGTGTGTGTCCATATAAAAATCCAGTTCCTTTGTGAGAAGGGAGGCCTGTATATGTAGGCGGAGCAACAAAGGAAAAAGGAGGAGAAAGAAGAGGAGGGGGGAGGTTATCTGTGCTTTCCTTTTACTTGGGCTTTTGTAGCATGATTAATCAAAATCCAGAGACAGAAATTGGGGTTCAACATGAAGATCAGAAAAGCAAAACAGCCAGCCACCAGCTCTTACCTCTACATCAGTCTGAAATGGCGATCCTGCCTCCAGGAATCTCAGAACGAGACTGTCTCTGAGAGCTGCCTCGTCTCATCTTCTATTCCTCTTTAGGGCTGGGATTAAAGGTGTGCACCACTACTGCCAGTTTCTATGGCAAACTAGCATGGTTACTGGGATTAAAGGTGTGTGCCACCATTGCCTGGTCTGTAAGGCTGACCAGTGGGGCTGCTTTACTCTCTGATCTTCAGGCATGCTTTACTTATTAAAATACAAATAAAATGCTCCTACAGGTTTCAAAAGGCATTGGTATTTGTGGACATGGTCATCCCTTATCGTCACATCCCAGGCAAATTGCTTAGTGCTGGGGCCTTAGAAATCACGGTCCTTATTGTTCACAAAGGGAACTCTTTGATGTATTCTGTGTTATATCTAGAGAAAGACTTAGGCAAATGGGGTGTGTCTGTCTGTCCTGTGTGTGTTGAGCGTAGGAAGGGGTAAGGTCAATGGGAACAGGGTGGGTGGTGGGGGAGGGGGTGTTTGTTTGGAATTGCGTTGGTGTCACCTTGAAAAGTGAAGGTGCTCGGGAGTGCCAGCCAACTCAGTGGACATCAAGAGGCCAATGTCCAGTGTCACCTCTGACATCTTGTCTGTTTCTCTCCTACAGACCCTGCACGCTGCACTGGGGACCAGTGAGTGACTCCGGCAATGCTACCCCGATGGGAACTGACTCTTTACCTGCTTGCTTCCCTGGGCTTCCACTTCTACTCTTTCTATGAAGTGTACAAAGTCTCCAGGGGTAAGACTCCAAGGCTTTCTGATGACCCGTCCAGAAGGGAATGGGAAGGGAGTGTCCGAGATGAGGATTCAGGAGGACATTGCCGTGGTCATGTGACCGTTGCTGCGGTCTGTTTCCCGGATATGTGCACTTTGAATCCGTGGCAGAGCCCAGGATTGCCCCTCCTGGTCTTTTACATGAACCGGTGGCTTGTCTTCTCCAGCAGCTTCTACTTTCCTTGTTGGTCCTGGGAAGGACCTCTGGCATGTGAACTGCCACCGAGCAGTGCCCCCAGGCTCTGACAACAGCAGGAACATTTGATCCAACTTCTCTCTCTAAGACCCTGAAGGAATCCGAAGTAAACTGTTTTTCTTTCAATGTCTTTCTTGGCAGGCTCATCTCAGAGACCTGGGAGGTCTGAGGTGTTAGCCACGCCCACCCCTTCTGATGGGGGGGGGAGGAACCGGCGGGGGGAGAGGGAGGGGTGGGAATGGGTTGAGGGGGGGTCGGTCTGAGGTGTTAGCCACGCCCACCCCTTCTGTGTTTTCTTTCTCTTGGTTTCTTTTGTCTTGCTGTGTTGCCCAGGCTAGCCTCACATTCCAGGATTTCCTCCAGTCTTCTGAGTAACTGGAGTTAGGGCAAAATACCACCACCACACCCCACTTCCATAGTTTAATTTTTAAAAATTTTTCCTGTATTGAGAACTGAACCCAGGATGTTGTATCACATGCTAGAAGCAGCCTACCCCTAGGCCATCTCCCCATCCTTCTTTTTTGGTTTTTTAATTTGAGATAGGATCTTGCTAAATTACTCATGCTGGTGGTGAAATCACTTGGTAGCCCCAGGTTGGCTTTGAACTCACACAGTCCGCCTGCTTTGACCTCCCAATGGATTACAGATGGAGGATCATCAGGGCTGCTCAGCTGGTCTTTAGGAGGAGCGGGAACTGAGCTGGGGAGATGGTTCTGTGGGTAAAGCACCTGCCTGGTATGGCTGATCACCTGGGTTTGGTCCCGAGATCTCACAGAAAGGTGGAAGGAGAGAGCTGACTCCTGAGAATTGTCTCCTGACCTCTGTGTGTGCACCATGACGCACATACATGCATGCACGCACACACATGTGCACACACACACAGAGATATAATAATAATAATATAATTCTAAAAGGGGGATTAGGAGCTATCCAGGTAGGACAGGGATGAGGTTATAGGCTGTGGACAAGCTTGCATCTGCCATCGGGACGAGAGAGAACACAGCATGGTCAGAGCCACGGATCACTCAGCAGAACTGGGATGTGGGGTCTGATAGGTCATGGGGAGACCTGACCTCAGCTTGAAGGACTGTATAGGAATGTGACAGCTATTAAAATCCATGAAGAGATTTGGCCTCTGTCTTTTTAAAAACTACTTTTAAAATTTTATTTGAGGGGCTGGTGAGATGGCTCAGTGGTTAAGAGCACTGACTGCTCCTCCAGAGGACCCGGGTTCAATTCCCAGCACCCACATGGCAGCTCGCAGCTGTCTGTAGCTCCAGTTCAAGAGAATCTGACATTGTTATACCAATGTGCATGAAATAAAGTTAAATAAAGTTTAAAAAAAATTTTATTTGATGTGTATGAGGGCTTTGCCACATGACATACTTGGTAACCGTGGAGGTCAGAATGTGTTGGATCCCCTGTAACTGGAGTTATAAGGGTTGTGAGCTCTCCTGTAGGTGCTAGGAATAAAACCCAGGTCATTTGGAGGAGCAGTCAGTGCTCTTAATCACTGAGCCATCTCTCCAGCTTCTGGGCTTTTTCTTGAAGGCAGGGGAGTGTGGGGGAAGCTGATGCAGTCACTTAGAATGGCAAAGATTGGGCTGTAGCTCAGTGGTAAGCTTAGTATTGGTCACGTCCTGGGTTCAATATCCAGACCATAATAAAACACAGTAACAAATAGGTTCTGGGCAGCCTATCCCAGATATCTATCCCTATAACTCACCAGGCTTGACTTTGCTGTCCATTTTCCATGTTGGCCATTCAAGGGAGTTGAGAACTAACTGCTCTTTGGTGGAGACTGACCAAGTAGGCTCATCCTGTCCTGGAGCCGTGAGCTTTCAGAGACAGTAGAAGGAACTCCAAATCTGGCTTAACTCTGGGTCCTTTCCCCCTTGTCTTAGGACACTTTAGCTGAGCACAGTGAAATGAAGTGTTACTCAGAAGTCAGGCTTGGGAGCAGTGACCAACATAAACAGGTCCCTAGGTTACGAGGAGTCTAGTTGGCATGAGATGCCCCGTTCTTCTGCCAGTGATTCTGGGGCCCTTAAAGGTGGCCCCGCCTCTAGTGAGGTCATCGCTCTGGCTGAAGTTCACATTTGCCTTTTGCCCAGCAGGAAAGACAGACAAGAAAGTGGAGTTACGTTCTCCTTTGGGAATCATATCTGTTCACAATTTGTTCATTAGCACTAGTCCTGGGGCCTCATTCACAGAGAGAGACGCTTGGGGAGGTTGTCTTGGCATGGAGCCATTTATCCAGCACCCTAAGGAGCCCTGTTGGAGCGGAAGAAAGCAGGGATAGATTTTATCAGTGAGCTAGTGTCTTCCCTAGATGGCTGCATTTTTACCAGCGAGTCAGTCTCTTCCATAGATGGCTGTCTTACTTGTCTTTTGCTGTGTGATAAGCGATCCTGAAGTTTTGTGATTTAAAAATAATAACTGCCATTTTTTTTATAACTCCCTATTATGTGAAGATTTTCCCTTTTGAAAAGGTTTTTGTTTTGTAGTAGTTTCGGGTTTGTGGTAGAGGTGAATAGCACGGACAAGTTCCCAAACGCCCGAGTTCTAGCGTGTGCCACTTTTGGTCAGTGTCCAGTACCACAGGGGTGCATTTGTCCAGTTGAGTCAGACAGCATTGTTGGCCAGTCTCCTCAGTTTACATCAGATCCAACGCTCTGATGGGTATTGTATACTGTGTGGATTTGAGAGGCGTAGCGTGACATGCGTCCATTGTTAGACTATGGCACAACAGTGTGTCTCCTCAAAAAGTTCCATCTTGCCAACTCATCCACCAAACCTCCCGTCTCTCTATTGTCTCCATCGGTTTGCTTCTCCTAGAATGCCATGGAGCTGGAGTTCAAGAGGTGTCATCTTTTAAGCGTGGCTTCTTTCCTCTAGGGAAAAGCATTGAGGGGACTTAAATGTGCTTCACAGCTCAACAGCTCCTTTCCTCCCCTCCTCCCCTTTCTTCTCTCCTTCTGGAGACGGGTCTCAGGCAGCATTAGACTGGCTTTGAACTTCTGATCCTCCTGCCTCCACCTCCTGAGTGTTGAGATTAGAGATGTGGGCTGACTGCCCAATTCACGCAGTGCTGGGGATCAAACCGGGGTGTTAGTTTCCAACTCACTTCTTTCGAGCACTGAATAATATTCCACTGTCTGGACTTACAGGATTCCAGCGTTATACTGACCCGGCCGGGCAGCTCACCAGCATTCAGGCAAACATCTAGCCGGCCCAGGGGACCTGTGCACGGCTGTATACAACTCTGTACTCTGCACAGGATTTCCCTTTTAAGTAAGCTCACCCGCATGTTTGTCCCTTTTTTCAGTCTCCCACAAAACAAAGACAGTCTATGCTAACATATGCAATCAACAATAGCTTTGTTTATTCCAGCATGCTGGAGTCTGCCAGTTAGGCAACAAAATGGCTACACTCCCCCTTTATATGCAACCAGGAGAGGTCGAGGAGGGTGGGGTTAGACCATCCTGGACCCAATTGGCTGGGGATTAGGTCATCCCGAACCTGATTGGCTGGGACTCCTTTTCCTGCTTTAAAAGAATACAGAACCCAAAAGTGAAACTAAACTGAGACCCAGGCCCAGTAGGGGAAGCTTGGCCCTGGAGCTACGGAGGCTTCTCCATCATAATCACTTTCAAGTGTTGGCAGCTGCGCATAAAGCCACTATAAACAGTGGTGTGCAGGTTTTTATACTGATGGGTTCTTACCTTGATTGTGTACAAACCAATGCCATTGCGGGTCATGTGCCAAGGGTGTTTTATTTTCATAAGAAACTATCCACGTTCAGCTTTGCACCCCGAGACTCGGGCGAGGTGGGAGCATTTACCTGTAACACAAGAAAAGAAACTCCCTATCACGGATCTCACATTTTGCTTTGTTTTTGGACTAAGTCTCACGGTACAGCACAAACTGGCCTCAACTTCATGGTAACCTTCCTGCCTCATCTCCGCGCGGCACCATGCCTGGCTACCATGCGTCCTGAGGCTTGGTTAACGAGCCTGGCATTAATGGCCTTTCTCTGAAACAGAACATCTGTTTAAGGTGTCAGTTTACCGGAAGCCTTTCTGAAGACCAGAGTGGTCGTTAGCGACAACTGTTGGTGACAAAGGCGCCTAGCCACCTGTGAAAGCAGCGACGGGCCATCCGTCTGCTTCTGACTGCGTTCCGTGCTATCCATACTTAGGATTTCTGGTTCTTGTGTGCACTCTGACTGTTTGGAGTGCTCTAGGGATCTGTCTGTTTGATGGAGTACGTCGGTTTAGTATATTGTGTGGTGCCATCTTAACCATTTGTCTCCGTTATCTTCTTCTCTGTGGATTTAACATTTTGCCCTCCCTTCCTCTTGGTCCCAGTCCTCACCCTGCGGTATTTTATTCCCATCTTCTCCCTCCCTCCCTCTGGTGTTCTGTTTTCCCACTTCCCCTTCCCCCATGTCTTTTTCTTTCTTTGATCAGCTGTGCCGGAGTCTTCCTAGCGCGTTCTCAGATCACTCCCTGGCTCCTTCATGCTTTCCACTGCCTCAGTTTCTGAATGTGTTGCTTCTGTCGTCTGTGCTTCTTGGGTTGCTTTGTTCCTTTTGTATTGACTTCACCGGTTGGAGGTTTTAGCTCGTTTGTTCCCTAAGGGATGTGTTTGTGTCTTTGCATTGTGTCTGAGTGCTTCTCCCAGGAAGTTTCCAGAGTAGGAATTATAAAGTGAAAGAAACTACACTGTTTTGCAGGTGTTGAAAGAATTATTGGCTGGTGCCTTGC